CCCCACACACACACACATCAAAAAAGGTGTTTATACTGAGGGAAGCCCATCTAAACATCTAATACCTGTCTCCTGTCTAGTCTTGTTGTAAAACACAGAAACTATATTCACATATAAATCATGTTTTAACAAAGAAATGTTATAATACTTTGCTGTAAAAAAACAAAACAAATCTTGTTATTTAATAAATTAAAAGAAATAACTGAAGCTAACAGTCAACATATTGAAAATACATGTCAGTATCATTGAGTCAACATCCAGTAACCACAAGGTGGCACTGCTGAAGAGAGAGGAACAGATCTGTCAGGCTTCTCTCTCACTCTTAATCACAGATGTATACTTAATGGCCTGCAGGGCACAGGCCCAGGGACCCAAGAGGTCAGGGGCCCATAAACCAGAGAACTGTGAAGGTGTGCAGGTTCTGTTTACCTTTCCACTGTAAACTCCATCTCATGCCTACAATGCCTACAAAAAGCCACAAAATGACTAAAATAATACTGAAAAGACCCCAACACTTCAGAACAACTACACAGATATGCAGAACAAAGAGACACAGAACAAGATGAAAACCACTACAAAATAGACACGAAACAAGTAAAAATAGGGACAAAATTCCAGTGTGATTAGTACACACACATGCAGTGCAGATTCCTGGCTACTGTTTACTTACAGTAAAACTTCTACTACTGTTTCCGACATAATGATTCACAGAAATAACCTGCTGCAAGCTGTAAAAAGTACTGGACACGTGCTCATACCAGTCTTTCCTTGTTACTTTATCACAAAGTCTTCTTTTTTTTCACCTGCAGATCACATGGGAATGAAACATGACCACAGGGCGGGTGGGTTAGTGGGTTCTCAGTGATATGTAGGTCAGCTTCATAGCACAAACACCAAAAGAAGCTATAGTGTTGTATATATCCAGATTCACAATATTAAATTCAGCATTTGGTTTGTGTTATAACTTACTAGTGGAGTTTCCCTGATCTGGGAACACAGTGCACATGTTCAGACATCTGAAACTGAGGATCTCCTCATGACTGAAAGCATTATCGGATTGGTGGAAAAGCTGAAGCGAGTCTCCCAGATGCGCTTGTGTGGAGCATGAGACAGGGTTAGGTGTTAGGGTGATTGTAAAAGTTATTTAGTATAACCTCACACTCTGTGCGCACGCACATCCATCATCAGTTGTAGCTTGGAGCTTTAGTTTGGACACGTGATTCCAGACCAAACACATTCTCTTCTTCTTCCTAAAGAAGACTGCTACAAAGATTTTTCTCAATGGATTTGCTTAGAGGTGCGGTGTTTTGGGCGGGAATGGTGGGCGTGCCACCGCGTCTATGTATGAAAGCCATGCGCGGGACCACAGAACCACAAGAAGCAGCTTTACGCACAAGAACACTTGTGGTTTTCGGTAAGTTAAACTACGTATGTTCTGTATATGAGGTGAGCTACATATGGCCAGGCTATTTTTCAAGGCCGTCTCTAGATCACAGCAGTAGATTTGTCTGGCGAAAATAAAATATATGTTAGTTGAAAAGGGTGTATTTACTGTAAATTCACAATGTAAAACCCCTTTTTTTTCTGGATGTTGTCTTTGAAGAAAAATAGTTTACGTTGTAATATTTTCTGTGAGCAGCCATTATACATTTTGAAAGTTTTTTTTAACCCAGTGACTCTGAACCTGCTCTCTCTGAACATCCTCTATATTTTCAGGTAATAGTTTGTCTACTGAAAGACGTCATGTTGCTGCTGAGGACCTTTGCGCCCTGGTTGCTGTTGGCCTTCCTCGGGCAGCAAATCTCTCTGTCCTCCGGTGCTCGCAATAAGAGCCGAGGAGCGGACAAGACCGTGACCCCAGCCGCTGACAGAGCGCAGAGGAACGCGAACAAGCCTGCAGCGACCGTCCGGGGGAAGTTCACCACGAACAAGATGCAGTGCACGTGGGGGGCAAGAGACGTCCGGGACACGGTGAAGCTGTCGGTGAAATGCGAGAACCCGGAGGCGCAGTGTGAGTACACGGGAAAACCTGAGAGCTGCCCGGGCTACCTGTCCGATCCTAGGGGCTTCTGGAAACAGGTAGCCCGTGCGCTCAAAAGACTCAAAGACAAAGTGTGCACGGACGAGCGCGCGGTGGTGAAGGCAGGCATGTGTAAGCGCGCGCCCCGGTATGCACACTTCAAGCTCAGCTCCGTAATGTTGAGTCAGTTCCGAGACCGGGAGACTTCCACGCCCCCGCCACCCAGCTCCATCACAGCCGACCCAACACCGTGCACGGGGCGCGCGGACCACCGGAAAAGGGCGGAAGAATACTGCAGCAGCTCATGGGCCAGTGTGTGCGCCTTCTTGTTCTCCGTGGTGCAAAGGGACTGTTAGCTTCAGATCCCACGGGGTCGCGCACATGACCAGACTGATACTGATTCGTGCAGGTGTGCTATCAGGTGTTTAACTGTGACTCTTACCCGAAGACACTATTTTATTTCCATTAATTGTAGTAATTTATCCACAGAAAATAGCTCGTTACCATTAATTAAAGCACAGTTATTACATACTTGCATGTCTACTTTGTTAGAGTATTATGCTACTTTATACTTCTGCTAAATAGCACTTAAATGTACATTTTCTTCTACTATATCGCTGTTCGGATAAATGTTCCTTTTCATATAAAAAATAGAAATTAAAATACCCAGCAATAATAACTGCCATTCGTCCTGGTCAGTACAATTTGCTTTCAAACGTTCTGTATTTGAGTAAATTTTGTTTTGAACAAATATTAATCAAAACACACAATAGGATGATATTGCCAGGTAATACAACAGTCAGAAACACACAGAAACAAGAAAAAACAGATATTACTACAATGCATGTGATAGAGGCCCCATTTGTAAGTTTCCATCTGTCACACTGGGGAAAGCAAAAAGGTTTTGGATTTGTGTAAATGGTAAATAACTGAAACGAATCAGCCAGTTTCTACCTTTGATATAACAGTGTATCATATCCACGCTGTATTACACCTCACTGTACACTCCTAGCTTGTTATGACTGAAAGTTCATGGCCAGTAAACTAACATCTGGAGTCACAGGGGTACTATGCATACCAGCATATGAATGTTGCCCTCAAACAGTTTTAAATCTTGAATCTGACATAATGCTTGGTTTGTCCTGAACCTGAAAGCTTCTTGCTTCACAGCTGAAAATTAGTATGTGGAGTGGTACTTCTACCTCTGGTTGACTTTATCAAACCACTAATATTATATCAACACCTACAGTATGTATTTATGTACCACAAATAACTATGTTTTATTTATACAGTGTTGTCTGTTGCCTCGAACACTATGCAACATATAACATTTAAGCACATGGTTGGATGAAAACTATGAGGTAACAACTGTGTTATGCTGCAGTACATCTGGAAAAGGTGGATTTTTTTTAGAAATCTTTCTGTAGATTTACTTTGAAGTTTATGGTCGGTTTCTACAGAGCTACATCAGCTTTGTGTAAGTCAACAATTCTTGATCACAAGTCTTCTGATCTCTTTTTTTGTGAGGCGTGGTCCACATCGGCAGACGGTAACTCACACTTCCAATCTCGTTTCACTGATTGGACTGTAAACCTCTGACTCCAATTAATTTTTGTTAATGATATGGCCTTGGGGTTCACATGCATTTCCCAGCCTACACTCTGACATTTTGAATGATAAATTCAAGATGGACAAATGGTTTGTGGATATTTAGTTAAAATAGTTTTTGGTCAAAACTGCAACTTAGATGAAGAACTGATCATATTTTAAATAGCCACAGATGATTCCAAAGGGTTCACTTATTTTTTTCTTGCCACTGTAGAGCGATTGGAAGTAAAGACCGCTAGGATCCAAGTGTGTGCATGTGTGTGTGTGTCTATAAAATTCCTGAACAAGTGCAACTCCAGATGTGGATTTTAATGTTTTCCTGACTGTTCTTGACCTTTCGTCACCCCTGACCTGTAGCTCTTTGTCCCCTCAGACATGTAAAGAAGATTTCCACCTTTTAAAAGAAGTCTGCGATCGTTGAGGGCACAGCAGGGATTTTTGTAGACACATTGTTTTATTGACTCCTTGTCTAGAGCTCAAGGACAAATTCCAGCACCACCACACAGTCGAAGAGGAAGTAGTTAGAGGTTAGAGGTCAAGGGTAACGAAGGAAATGAGGCTACCATCCAAAAGTCTGTACTTAAAGGATCAACCACCTCTGTTAGTCATTAAGAAGGTTCATTTCCTTTACCTCTTGGCTTCCACAGGCTTTGATCAAAAGAGGATCCACCATCAGGATAATGTACAGTGTCAACAGAGTGGAAAAGCCTCAGAGCTATATGTCAAATTTCTGACATTTAACCCTCATTGCACTTCAAAAGGTGGAGATATCTCTGTTAACTTACAGTAGGCAGTTATTTATTAAACAAATTTACTAGACATCCTTTTTCTGCTTTTAAAATCAAATTAGAAAACAGTGTCTGTCTGCTGTTTGGTGGAGAGCTGGTAGTGTCCAGTGCCTTTTCTTTCAAAACAGCTGCATGGCTGAAAATGACACCATGAGAGCAAGGAGGGTGAATCAGAACAATACATTTACAGCCCAGACAACTTAAGAAAAATAAGTAAAACTCACTATAAAGCTTTATAAAGCCAGGGGGAATTGTATATATTCAGACCAAGTCTCATATACTAAAAGTGTACCACAGCAAGCCAGCATTTTGACTTTGTCACATTTGATTTCACATTGTCATTTGATACTTTATAATAAAATTGTGATTGTGCCCTTTTAAGGTGCTCAAAAAAGTGGAAATGTGAACATCTATAACTGCACAATGTGAGATCATCAAGTGTTGAAACTGTTTTTTTTAACAGAAATTTGAAGAAGTCACTTTGAACTCTGTAGTGTTGTAATTGGAATTTGCAACTTGTATTTTATGAACTAAAAAGTTAATTGATTAATGATAACATGACAAAGTTTAACCAGTTCTGTCAGAATGACCACTCCAGCAATGGAAAAGTTCCAGAATGTGTCTGACATAGGTAGATTGTAGAATTAGTAATGTTTGCTCATGATAGTAGGGTATGTACTGTATGTGCAGTTCAGTTGCTCTGTCATTTGTGTTTTCATTGGAATTAGCTTGTGGGAAGTGCCAACTCTACAGTATCAGGATATCCTGAACACAGCACACATTTATGGACACAAGCACACACACAAGGTGTCAGACCCACGGTGAGGCATTGCAGAATAGCTGATAAAATAATTAAAAAAAAGATTTTTCTCCACCAATTATGATCTTTTGATTCTGGTCTTTGTGTGACAGAGATTTGATCTTCACCGTTGTTGTGAAAGTGTGAGGATGTTTTGAAATGGTCGGTCTTACAGAAGCTGCAATGAAGCCTACAGGTCTTGCTCTGTCAATATTTGCTAAATACCAACCAATACTGATCAAATGTCATTTACTGCAAGCAAAAATGACATATCACAATAAATATAATTTATACTCATTTGTTACTGACCAGGCCTACCAGGCACAGTGTTGGGGGCGTGTTAACTTTTCTACTGTAAAGTCAATCAAATGACTTCAAAAGTAATAAAATGAGAAAAGAACGATGTAAAACAGCTACAAATGACATAAAACTACTAAAAACAGACACAAAATGACTAAAAAGAGACAGAAAAGACTCTGATAACAGCAAAACAAATACAAAAATATGCAGGAATGACAAAAAGAAACAACATGGCTAAAAAGAAATGCTAAAGAAACAAAAATGAACCCTAAATGGCTAAAAACAGACACAAAACAACTACAAACTGACTACAAAAGCTGTGGTTGCGCAATGTACGAGTCTTGCTTGTAGAAGAGGTGGGGACCTTTTACATGACTGCGCCCAGGAGTCCATGGTCTCATAATTCATCCATGTTTGTAACATTCCTTGATAACAAAAGCTCTGTGCTTATCTCCGTGCTAGATGTTAGGTATTCACAAATGGCATTTATTTCTAAACCACCAGCAGCAGTAACATTAGCTAGGTAATGTTCTTTTGCTTTCTTTGTTCATGTGTGTAGATTTAAGTTGTAGGTAGATGTTAGGCATTTGATTTGACATTGGACATACACAATTAATCAATGAAGCATGCACATTTGGTCCATTTTGTGTTGTTAATGTGTGTAAATTTTCTTTTTGAGTTACCCATGTTCCTGGTAAATCAGCCTCAAGGGCTTTCATAGACAGCAGTTACTTGTAGCTCACAGAGCCTCAGCTGTTGGTGTGATGAATGAGAGAAGGGAAGGGACTAGATGTCAGCAGAGGGAACAAAAAGAGTCAAAACACAACTCAATGTTCCATTAACAGACCAAGTTCAGATCTGACCTACAAAAGCTGCCCGACACATGCCCACCCAGAGGCTCCTACACCCAAAAACACACAAAACAGCCGGAGGGAGGAGTTGGGGGCATTGTTCTTCCTGTGGCTCGAGGTGGCCTGACCCCACACCCTGCTGTTCAGTCCTCGTTATTGGCCGCCTGTTTCTGTGGCAACAGTCAACGCCAACCTCTTCTGAAAAGAATAAGAGAAAGCTATATAATAGGACATGAGATTACCCCTCCTTCACAACCAAAACATACTGTACACTCATAAACACTGAAACACTCAAGGGAAACACCCCTTTGACATAATTTTACTGGCAACAGTTACCTTAAGATATACTCAGTGAAGGTGAAGCCAAAAGGTTACACTAAAACAGCTACAGTATATTGTGTCAGTTGAGAAATGCTGACAAATTCATTTTGTACAATGAATGCAAAGGGCATGATAATAAGACTTTTTTTTATTATCATCATACTTTGTCACCTGCCTCTGGAGTAATCAAGTCATTGATTGTGTTTTAGAAAATGTAATTTTACATGGTAATGAGCACTGGTTGAAGTCCATCCATCCATTCATACATCTGTAGAAGGTCACAGGGTTCGGAGCCAATCTTAGTCACAGTAGACAAGAGGTGTAGAAGACTCTGGGCAGGCACCAGTATATCACAAGGCTGACACAGACAGACAACCAATCACACTCATATTCACGCCTAAGGGCACTTTAAAGGTACCAGTCAACCTAACCTGCATGTCTGTGGAAAGAAGCTGTATGGAGATAAAATACTATCCATAAAGCTGGAGCACCTGGAGACAACCCATGCACACACAGGGAGGAAAAACCACGACCAGCTGAGGTTCAAACCCAGAATCTTGTTGCTATGAGGTGACAGTGCTGACCACTGCACCACCATGCTACCCTCTTTGCATTGAAGTTAAGCTAAAATATCAAGAAACTGGGAACATGCTATATGTTTTATGATTTGGGTGAACTGACCCTTTAAAGGAAAATAATAGTTTGTGATGTTATAATTGTTCCCATCAAGTGTTTAATGACTTTGACTTCACTGACGCACAAAATTATCCTGCATGTGTAAAGAATGTAATGATTCAAGTCAGAGTTGTCACTGTAATAGTTTACAAGTGTTTATAACAGAAGATATCTTTTATTTTACTATCATATTTTTGCACAGTTTGTAAAATAAGATGAATAGTAGCATATAATGGAAATACTCCAGTAAAGTACACAAAACTCCAAATTGTTCTTAAGTTCAAGACTCGTGTAAATGTGCTCACTTTGTATATAAATGCGTATATATCTGTGAATATTAGTAGACAAAAATCATGACACAGATGCTTTTGCAGTACTTTATATTCAAACAGCTGCAGCTCAAATGTAGGAGCCACCTCTAGTGGCCATGGAGAGTCTGCGCATGTTCAACAACAAGACAATGTTAATACTGAAACATTAAAGGATAATTCACTGTGGTACTTCATTAACTGCAACGTTTATTATGGCATATTGGTTCCGCCATACAAAATGCAAAGAAAAACAACTGTTGTCAGATACTTAGGAATGATAAGTGATTAACATTAGTTGTAGTAAAGATAATAGTCGACCACAAGCTGCATTAATGTGGATATGAACATGTTAGCTACCTTCCAAAGACAATATTTGTAATCATAGTTTAAAGACCTGATGGGTCATCTGTCAAACCCAAGAAAGTTTTGCTGTAATTAACTACGGCTTTGTATTAGCTTGCTGTTTCTGTTAGCCCACTTGGAGTGGAGGCACTTCAGATGTGGTTCCTGTTATTGATTGCTGATTGGTTACTTATCATCTCCACCACAGAGCAACAGTAAGGCCTTCTGGTAGTTGCCACCGGTATCCCCCTGTAACACACATACACGCAGGCTTAAGAAAAGGCTTCACAAATGGCAACTAGTTAAGAATATTTGTGTGTAGTACAGTATGCTGATTCATGTGTGTGTGTGTACCTTGACCATTGAATGCAGAGAGCAGGCAAACATCCTCCTGAACTCAGCTCTGATGTCCAACATGTCCATCTCACTGCGACTCACCATCACTCTGATCAGGGTGTCATCATCAGTGCCAACACCCTAAAACAAACACAAACACACCATGCCTCTATGCCCCCATAAACATATACAATATATTTGATTGCAGCATCACTTTTTTGATTCTTTACAGTCCATAGTCACAGACAGATCTAACTTAAAACTGAAAGCACTTTTGGAGAACACAAAAATCTACCAAGATTGCAGCAATGGCAATATTTTGCTGGCATTATAATGTATCATTACAACCAGCTTGCTGGTGATTAAATACAGGTTAAACCTAGTACTATATGTACTTGGCTAGACTTTCAGATGTCCTCACTCTAAAACCACAACTGTTTGCTGCGTTACCTTCATGGACTTGTACAGGGTCTCGGCCAAATAGGCTGGAACACTCCTGGCACACTTCACTTTAAAAGAAAAACAGGATAAAATGGTTAGTGACTGAAATATTTTAACTGTGAGTCAGTCGGAGTCACCAGTCAGAAGATGGAAAAAGTCTGCAGATGTTTCGTACCTACGGCGAGAAGCAGCTCTTTCAGAGTTCCAGATGTTTCCCTCTTGATGGTCTCCTCAATCTGAAATCCAGACAGCTTCATGTAGGCATCAAAGACTGAAACACACAGGTTCAGAATTAGTTTGATCATTATGGGAAACTGTGAAATCACTACAATAACTTTAGATTTCTTACTACTGTACAACCATCAACTCTCAGACAGACACACACACACACACACACACACACACACACCTCTCCTGAGATGTTCAGCACTCCGGTTGCCCAGGATGGTGACAAAGGTTTGTTCATCTGTGCCAAACTTCTTCTCCCCTGCCTTGAAGAGGGTCTACAACCACAAAAAGTAGACATCTCACACAGTTTGTCCTTCAAAATCATGAATGTCTGTTTTTGGCCAAAGCAGCAAATTAAATCCCCGACAAAGCACATCTAAAAGTCTGACCGAAAACAGAACATTTTAACCTTGATGAAGGAAATATTTACTGCACGGCTGCATTATTAGACTGCACTAGTATTAGTTCAGTGTACCTAATAAACAGCTGACTGTCATGTACCCCAGTATTCCTTCAGTGTTCTGCTGTCCTTTTATATTCGAAGAATGTTTAAAGAAGGTTTACTCCCTCCCTCCCTCCACTAGGTGTCATAACATCATTACTGACTAGTTCTACAAACTGCCATGCCCCCTCTCCAGTATGCACAAACACAAAACCCAGCTTTTAGAGCCTATCCACAAACACATGACAGTCACATCCTGCAAGAGACAGAAGGTCAATCCCAATTCAGTTATTTTATCGTTCCTTCGTCCTTGCTCAACATGGAAGTCATTCCAGTCCATCATAATGAAGGACATCCCAAAGCTTCTAAAGAGACTGCCTAGAGGAGCTATAACTGAGAAAATACGAGCGCATCCTTCGTGCAAGTCTGATTTGGATGGACACACCCATTTATTGGAAATCAGTTTGTGATTGGATGCTTCACATGAAGATTTGGAGAAGAGACAAGTGAGGGAAATGTGGATGCAATTAGAGGAAATGGAATTCACCTTAAGACACCATTGATGGTGAAGAGCAGAAATACTAACTAGCAATAGACTCACCTGAGCATCACTCTCGATCAGCTCCTGCTGGACCACTGTCTGTCTGTTGGCCTGAGGAGAGAGGAAACATTTCTCTTACAGCAGAGGAAGAGGAAGAGAGAGATGGATGGGGAGAGGAGAGCTCTCAAATCACCTGGAGCAGAATAACAAGAAGTCTTTTGTAGTGACCTGAAGTGTCACCACTTACATCATCCTCCAGGTTGTGGTCATACTCTGAGGAAAACACACAAAGTCACACAACACACAGTTTAGCTGATCTTGAAAAGAAGGGTTTCCAGACTTTTCTAACACTTCTGTGATTTTAACCAATTTAAGAAAATCATTTTAAATGTAAATGATGGTGAGATTATGTACGATTATTTTTAACAAATCCCACAAGAAGAAGAAAAAACAAAAACAAAACAAACAAAAAAAAACAATGAACAGTGTCTAATGATTACCTTCATTATCAATTAATCGGCAAATTATTTTCTCAAATGTTTTGTCTATAAAATTTACAAAAATAATGAAACATGCCTGTCACTCTTGTCCAGAGCCAAAGGAGCTGTCTCTAAATGTCATATTTTGTCTGACCAACATTCCAAACATATTAGGTTTACAACAGTACATAACCAAGAAAAGGTCTGAAATTAATTTTCTGGTGACTGACTATTCAATTAATGAACTAATGATGAGCACCAATTGAATATTAACCTGCAGCATAATATAGTCCCTAATAAATGCTTGATTTACTCCTGTTTGAGTCATGCTTGCTAAAAGCCGCTTTAGGAAATTGCATTACAGCTTTAAAAATGAAACTTTGCATTTGATTCCCATTTTTAAAGATTTTCATTGTTAGTAGGAGCCAGAAGGATTGGACCTGAGACCCACAGCCAGAGTAAGGAGGTTAGAAACCAATTGTTGGTTTTCAACAATTTCAAAGCCTTATGCCAACAATAGGAAAAATATAGAATAACACCAGCTTCTCTTTATAAGTAATTTAAGACATTTAGCTTTTTGGTCATGAATATTTTACATCATAAGGAAACACTTAAAATCCAAAAAGAACATTTTATGGGTTATAAGCATGGTTACAGTCAACCGTTTAAATTTCATCAATGATTAAATCACTTCACCTGATAGGTTAAACTAAATGTGTCCATAGAATAAACACAACTTGCATGTTCATGATCTTACTTGAGTTTATTGTGTGTGTATTTTACCTGCTTTGTAAGCAGCGACGATGTCCCTCACCTGCTGACAACTTCTGGAGGCGAGGATCTCAATCAGCACCTTATCAGTTGTTCCTGCCCCCTAGTGGTCAAAGGGGAAAATCACAGGCGCTACATTTCAAGTTTCAGCTGCTCTGTCTGCTACAATCACTATCTATATGCAGAAACTCTCCATTTACGCCATGAGACCGACATCTCTAGCAACTATAGCACCTACCTTAATGGCATGGTGGAGGGCTTCAACATCATAAGTGACGGGTGGGGTCATCAGAGCTACAATCAGAGTCTCAGAATGGCCATGCAGCTTTCCCTTCAGGTCTGATATTAGATCCTGTCATGATCATACATAATGTAATTAATACTGGTGCAGCATAATTCCTTTGATGTGGTTAGGTAACCCTGTCTTGTCATATGACCTGACATTGTGAGTGGTCACTGGGTGTCAAAGGTTCAGTATTCTTCAAATGAAGAGCTTGTCAGATCGACACGCCTGACGCTCTCAGGCAGGCCAGCATCCAACTAATTTTTATAACTTTCCAAAACAGTTCATCTGACTGTTATGCTCATTTTATGCAGCAGCTGGCCAGGTGTGTGTGGAGGTGAGCAAGTGGCAGGGTTTGAATTCCTTTCTCAACCCTTCTCTTTTATTTCTTGATATTTTCTCCCTTTCAATTTGTACAACCGACTGCTTTTGAGGTATCTGAGTGTTCAGAACAGTTAGTGGCTAGTCCCTTGTTCAGCTGGTTAATTTAGCAAAACCCAGTCATTTGGGGAAGTGATTATTTCTGTGCAGCAGCACCACCACCCTGTTTTATTCTCAGCTTAGAGAGTCAAGGATTTGGCACCTAGAATTAAATGAGAAGACTGATATCACTCACATTCCTTAAAATAAAAAAAAGTTCATATACATCAAGCAGCTGGTTAGCTTAGCATAAAGATTGTTTTTAAATCTCAGCATAAAGAATGGAAACTAAGGTTAAAAAAACAGCTTGCTCACTATCAACAAAATCTACCTACCAACACCTCTAAAGCTCTCGAACACTTGTTTAATCAAGGCAAGTCCAGTTTAATATTGTTGTTTTTAGCATTTCCTTTTTCTATTATTTCATTTTTAGGGACACACGTGTACACAAATTGAATTCATTGCATCTTGTGTTTCCCAGCAAAGCTGAGAAATTAGAGAGCCAGAAGGAAATTATGACAAGGTTTCTGAACACATCACTGGATGTAGCAATTAGTAACAAGTATGAACATTGTGTATTCCCCCCATGCAGTTGGACAACATCATACAGCTTTGTCTATCTGAAGCATACTGAGGCCTTTAAGTTGGAACTGTGATGCTATGTGTGTTTGTGGTTTAACGGCTGTTAGAAGAGAGTCATACCTTTCCAAACAGAGTTTTGTAGGTAGCCTTGATCTGCTGCCTCTGGGCATTGCAGCGACCAGTCACCAGCTGCACGATGGCATCCTCATCAGCTCCTATGGAAACAAGCACCAAGGTTACATGCTTGTTTACATCTATTCTCACATGATACAAACAGTATATAGCAGTGAGCATGCTCTATCTGCAGGAGACTCTAGATTGCCAGTATTTCACCCACATAATTATAGCCTTAAGTTAAAGTCTGCAGATGTGTTTGCACACAGTGATGTCTCAAGTTTCCCCTCTGTGCTCATGTGTTTATGACTCACTACTGTCTGGGTGGAGATCCATACAAACAGTGGGGATTACTACACTGGCTGTTCAGAGAGGAACTCACCAAAAACACTCTCTCCCTGTTCTGTTGCAGGAGAACTACTGCCTATTATTCCTTCAACATATCAGATGAAACTGTGCACACAGCAGATATGCATTCTTGCAAAGCATCTTACCCAAGCCTTTGTGCATGGCTTTGTGCATGGCCTCAGCATCTGCATTGGCATTGAAGTTTGCACTGGCTTTTATTGTTCCTCTGTAGGCCTGCAACATGGAAGATAGTTAAGAATTATCCTGTTATTTTCTTTCTAAGAGGTTGTCAAGCTACCTATCTTGACCAGAATACCTGGGTTTTCTGGATGCTTTGAGAACACAAGCATGATTTACCTACTGTGGGAAGCATTAGCACATTTCAAGGTGGTATATATAGTCAAAGGGCTTGTGAAGGAATATTTTTAGGACATATGCTTCATACCTGTAGAGTTTACAACTGTATACTGTGGCAGCAGTTTGAGGCTGGCACAATTTCACCTTTAGGCATACATGGATGACACGACAACCATCACTACCATATACCAGCAGGTTGTTAAATAAAGTCAAAAACTAATTAAGATGAAGGACCAGCCAGAGAAATTGAGCAGTTCAATTTCAACTTGTGTGCTTTCAAAAAGGAGGTTTTGTACAGATGAGGACACAGTTTTCACAGGTTGGCACAATTGTTGCTGGAGTTGAAATGTGCAGAAGTAAGACTGGAGATGACACTGTAGCACTGTGGAGTACAGCAGTACAGCAGGGACTTGGAACCCGAGAGAACCAGTTTTACAGGCTCGGGCAGCACTTTGACAGAGACATTGCAGGGCAGGTATAGCATGAATGGGGTGTGTTTGGTCTAAGAAGGAGAGACCAGGGAGTGATTTAACAGCACCAGTCAGAGAAAAGCTATGGTGGTCACTATCATATACCC